CATAGATTTTGGAATTCCTACAGTGTCTCTGCAAGGGATTTGTAACTAGCCCTATTTTAGATGAGGAATCTGAGACAGAGAGAAATAAAGCAACTTGGCAAAAGTAAAGAACTACCGGGGCCAAATAAGATGGCACCCCAGCCTCTGACCACACAGCCACTGTTCCTGCACACCAGGCTGGGATTTACTTGAGGAAACACTATTTTTTAAGGAGCACTTAGTATTCAGCCAAGACACTTACCCCGTGTACTGAGAGGCAGGTAAATGTAATGCAGTAGTTCTCAAAGTGTGATCTGGGAACCCCTGGGTGTCCAGAGACCCTTCCAGGGGTTTGCCAAGTCCAAGCTATTTTTATAATAATATTACGATGGCTTCTAGACTCTTCACCCCTATTCTCCTTCCATTAAGTTACAGTGGTGTTTCCAGTATCTCTAGGATGTGTGTCATATCGGAGGAAGCACACATACCAACCCAGCTGTCTTTTGTGAAGCTGGATGTGAAAGATAATTGCAAAACCGCAAAGCCAATTCATTCTTCTCACTATAGATTTTTTTTAAAAGGAAATATAGTCATTTTTCATAAAAATATATTAATGTTAAGATGTAATTTTATTATTTTTAAACAAACTTACATTTTAAAATTTTCTCCATCTTTATTTCTAATACAGTGTATATCAGTAATGCAACTAACAAAAGCAAAAGTTCTGCAGGACCCAGTCCTCAATACATTTAAAGAGTGTAACGGAGATCTGAGATGGGAAGACTGAAGAACTCCTCATGTAGTGGTTAAGAGTGTGGACTCTGGAGGTGACTACCTAGATTCATATCCCGACATTGCCACTTACTAGTTCTAGAGCCTTCTTCATGCCTCAGTTTCCCTGCTTGTATAAACGGAAATATTGCCTACTTTAGAGTTGTTCCTAGGACTAAATTACTTAACACATGCAATGCACCTACAACAATACCTGGCACATAGCTATTTGTTTTTGCTTTATAGTTACTAATTTTTACCTATTATATATTTTTGTGTTTATTTCCAGGGAAAATTTCCCCAATTTTTAAGATGATTAAAAAACACATACTACAAATTATCCAGAGTTCACTCACTTGAATTAGAACTAGCAAAGGCACCTTAGAAGAAGAGTCATGCTTCAAGCATAAGAGTTATAATAGTTCCATTTATTGTTATTGTTAATTTAATATTCTCTTTATCTGGCACTAAGCATTACAAAAGTTTCTTCAGAGAAAACCCAAACCCCTCACCTTTATAAGTAGAGTCTTATTTTCCACATTTGCAGATGCTGAGTTAGAACAGGGGTAAGCTTGGGCAGGGCGACGTGTCTGAGACACATCACTCCAGCGAAAATGGTACTTGAGGATGAAATACCAAATGTAGTAATTAGTAATAAAAGGGAGTAATATAACGAATGCCTTGAATTCAGGATTTAGAGGTCATATTCAATAAAATCAACATTAAAGGTTTAGGAAACAGATTTGATGTTTTTGTTTTAATGCTCTTCTTATAGTTTTAGGTATATGCTAAATATAAAGGTGTTCTTTCCTCAAAAGAAATGCATGATGTTTGCTCAGCATATAGTTTATACTAACAGGTTTTTTGAAGGTGTTGAAAAGGCTTGACTTTGCAGAGTAGTCGTGACCAGCATGTACTCTGGGAGGAGAAATAGGTTTTTCCTGGCCTGTCAGTTTCTGATGTGTAGCACAGAAGAGTCATCATCCATTCCCCAGCACCCAGGGCCAGCCCACAATGATCGATAAATTATTACTCAGACATTCAGATGTTTGCAGCAGTATTAACAAGATGACCAAATCTTCCTAATCTCCATCAATTATGATGTCATAAATAATGTGCTGATTGCAAATGAGGCTAAATGAAATGTGTATTCTTCAAAGCACTTATAAATTTCCCTAGACTGACAGATTATCTTGCAAAAAAGTCTGCACTGAGTTGGCCACACAGCTGGTCTCCTGCGTATGAATTATTGTGAATTCCAAAATAATACTGTCCATTGGGATCTTAAAAGAGTTTAGAAATAACTAAGGTGGAGGGGAGCAGCTTAACAATTATGAATCCACAAATAACCAAAATTGGTGGGGGGCAAAATTCGTTCATGTCCTAGGCAAGAAAAGGTGGTATTTCCTTTCATGTGTGTAATGTTTGTTATTTATGTGTGTGTCATGTATGTAACATTGATGTAAACATTAGATGCCATGTATTTCTAGATTTAGAACAAGATTCTTTCAGGGCTGCTTCAAATTTCATGAACTTGAGTAAATGTTTACAGCACACTAAGCGTGCTCCTTAGGATAGATGATGCCCAGGATTTGTATCAGGGTGTTAAAATATTAAGAACGTTGGACCAGAAATCACCATCTCTGGCTTCCTTTCATGTCTCCTTAGACAAGTTACTGACCTTCCTTGAGTCTATTTCTTTATCTGTAAAATATAAACGCTACCTATACCTAACTCACAACGGAGGAAAAAAAATGTGCATGAAAGCACCTCATACTCACTAGAACACTAACTCACACCCAGCAAAGCAGGAAGAATAGGTTGAGCCTGCATCCAGTCTGCAGACATGCAGTGCAAACAACCAACACGGCCACCAGTAACATGCATGGAGAGGGAATAGATTATGTTCTCTCACGTTTAATCTCAGTCTTTAAAAGTGTACAGTTCATTGGCTTTTAGAAAACTCACAGAGTTGAGCTACCATCACCAAAATCAGTGTTGATCCCAATCTTGATGTCTCAAGCTAAAGACAGACACATAAACTTGCAGGGACCATGTGGTCCTGAGATTACCCCCAGGAAGAGATTCCACAGTCATGGCCAGCCAGTGGCAGCAGCCAGGGCCAACTTAGTACCGATGAACCTTTAATACCATTACTCTGGTATCCACTGTAAATGTAGACAACTAGCTGTCTTAAAAACAGGAGGCAATGCATAGAAATATCCATAGGGATTGGATTACAAAGTCTGATTTAGCAAAACAAGATAATTTTGGATTAATTTTAGATTTAATAAAAAAGAATTGTAAATAATAAAAATTTGGAGAAACGAAAGAACTATGTCAACAATATATTGTAAGCAGGGACATATAAAATACTCAAGCATGAAGTGAAGGACACCAGCATTCCCTAGGTCTTAAGCTTGTGCCTTTGTTTGGCAGGGTCCTCTGGCTTCTCCCACGTGATGGGCATGAGATCTCAGGACAAGAACGTGGCTGTGGAAGGAGGAAAGGGGGGCGAACGGGTAGCAAATCACCGTGCGGAGTGGGCCAGGAAGCCCGAGGGATCCTATACAGAAGACAGAGGGGGGAACAGTATACCTAGGGAAAGGGAAACAGACACACATCTGGGGAGAGAGAGCAACCAGGAGATAAAACTACTGGGCATTTCCACACTTTCCTATCCCACAAAGAAGTCCCTCCAAAATGAGTACCTTTGTCATGTTTCTTGTCTGGTTCATTCAACTATTAGGAGATGGTATCTAAATCTCTCTTTTCTTGGCCCTCCCTCCCAACAGAATTTTACTCCAGAAAGGCAAAAAAAGTGAATTTTATAGAATTGTGATGTTGATAGAGTTGAGATAGTGGCTTGCTTCACAAACCCAGAATCATAACTGAGAAGGTACCTCCCAAAGCCTAGAAGACATAGAAATTAAATAGAGTATTTTATGGGTCAACAAGCACACTATCCTCATTGGTCTCACAGGTAAAAATGCTCCAAATTAAAAGGGTATGGATACCAACAAGGTACACTCTAGTGCTGGGCTGGTGTGGTAACAGCAAGTTGGACACAAGCAGTGTCAGCTCCGAGGTAAGCACCATGAGGGGACACACACTAAGGGCACCTCACAGCGGTCAGAAGCAATGAACTAGGCTTAGCATGTTGAGTGAATGAAAAGCGAAACTGACAAGAGCCACAGCACAGTATCGTATACATTAAGTGTAAATTTAAAACATACCTCATGCGAAGCACTACCTCATTTTCCCAGGATAAAGATTTAAAATGTGTCAAACACAAGAGGGTAGGCACTTACACAAGGAGGATGGTAGAAGACGGGATGAAGGAGCAAAATTAAAGCCAGGAAGCCCTCCACTGTGGATGATAACAGACTTGTGTACTCAACCGTGCATCTGAAGTTTAAAGAAAAGGCATGTGTCTAGCAAAGGGGGGCCAGTGAATGCATGCTGAGGACAAGCAGGGTCTCCTAGCATCCTCACCCCTCAATGGAATACTGCTCTGACCAGAGCAGGCCATCTGTGTGGCACCAGTGTGGTCAATCGGGGAGAATGTTGGCATTTACTTTATGCTAGGGACTGAGTGATGGGTCCTCTAGCAGATTTATTTAACCCCAACAACCTGTGAGATAGTAAACACCTCGTTTTACAGACTGAAAAAACCAAGTCAGTTTTCTAGTTACAAAGGCGGCTCACTGGGTTTGAACTTCGTGTTTAACTTCATTTCCAAACCACCACTGTTTCCTCTCAACCACCTAAACTGAAAACCTCTTCAGAGATTTCACCCCGAGGTAACTTGTTTCTAAAATGAGATCTAAACACCCTGCATTTAACTCCCTGAACTAACTGGAAACTGAGTTAGTTTCCAGCACCAGTCATTCTTGTGTTCATATTCAGAAATAAAGAGCCTCTACAGCAAGCCACTGACGTGCTCCTTAACTCTGCCTGGACTCACCACCTCATGAACGACGATACATTCAAATGAGTGACATTCAACACAGCCCCCTTACTACGTTCCAGTGCCAGGATCTGGTAAGTTATCCTTCTGAAAGTTAAACTTTGGAACGAACAAGTCACTTGAGTTTCCCATATTATTCTGACAGCCATAAATCAGATAAAAGCTGAGGCAATAAAGACACTGCCCAGCAGCAGTGCAAGTCCTAAGTCCAGTAGACACACCACTCACTTTGCAAAAATATACCTTTCAACCCTGTCCAGAAATGACATGTCAAAGCCAATACGATTCTGCCTTTTATTATTAGGTCAGAAGAGATGAAGTACAGGGAGAAGTAGCAGCAAAAAGGCTGTCAGACAATTCGGCTTCTGCTGGTTCTCAGGCAAGGACACCGGTGCAGAGACGGAGGACTCCACCTGAGGCAGACCCTTAGAACATCACCTGGGCCCTGAAGTGCGTCTGCTTGGTGGCATTGTTCTTCATGCCCATCTTCAGCAACCACTTTGACTTCATCCTCTGAACATACTGCATGTCCCGCTTGTTCATAAGAGCTGCTCCTGTGGTTGAAAAGATTAAGAATGAAGAGCATGTCTGTTATTTGTGATCAGAGAAAATCCAATCTTTGCAGAAAATCTCAAACACAGTTTGGGGTTCTTATATTTAAAGAAACATTGCTAACTTGGGTTCTCCGTGCAATGGGTTTATGTGTACCCTGGAAATGCATACCAGACTTCTCTATATATACTTCTCTCTGGGATGAACCGCTTCAGTTTTCATCATCTGGAAAGAGTCTAAAAGCTAAAGTCCCATTGATCTAAGGGGACAGAAAAAAGCAGAGACTATAAATCGAGGCAGACAATTGAGAAGTGTAACATAAAGTCAGTGTCTGCTAGATTTAAGTGGCCCCAGGTCACAATGCCACAAAGTAGATGCACTTTAGGGCCCAAGTGATGTTCGAAGGGTCTGCGTGGATTGAGCCATCGTCTCCTGCAGGGGTGTCCTCCTTGCCTGAGGACCAGCAGAAGCTGGATTGTATGATAGAACCCTTTCGATGCTACTTCTCCCTATACTTTATCTGTTCTGACATAATAATAAAAGCTCACAGGTGACCATAGTGAAGGAAACCAAGTGTATATAAAGAGAGGCACTGAAAATGGATTTTAGTTGGGCACAGCTTTCCAGGTCACTCAAAAAGAGCTCTCCTTCAATCGTGTCCACAGACCTCTAGTGGACTGTTTTCCCAGAAGAGCTGAGGACAGCTTCACACAGCAAACAAATCAGAACAGTGTTAAATAATTTCATAAGGATGATGTGTCAAAGACTAACAATTTCAGTGGCCTGCTTTCTTGCTCTGACTCTTACTAAGTTTTCTATGGGAAAGTTACAAAAAGAGTGATAGCTAGCCTTGATTATGTGCATACACTCTATCACACATGTATTATGATATTCAACCCACACAACTCTACGAGGTAGATACTACTGTTATCCTCACCATTTTATAAATGAGGAAGGAGAGGTGTAAGTGAATTAAATTACTCATGCTCATCATATAAGAACTGAAAAGTATATCAGATAATCGTGTTTGACTCCACAGCTCAAGCTACTCGCCACATGGATACTATTTAATTCTTCTGTGTAACCTCCAGGATAATTTCAACCACTGATGATTACTAAATTTTTTTTTGGGGGGGTAGGGGGAGGTAATTATTATCTTCTGAAAAAGTTAATAGTTTATATGCAGTTTTAAAAAGTTAAGTGACAGGAATATGAAGTTTTTAAGTCACAGGACTTTGTGCTTACTGCCAAAAACATAAAGGAAGCCAAAGAGCCAAGAGGTTAAGTTTCCCCTAGAAAGGATCCACAAAGACAACATAAATGGAAGTGACTTCTCCCTAGCCCCTTGTTATAAAACGAGTACACGGGCTGGTCTATGGCTGTCTACACCCACATACCTGTGCTGCCCGTCCACCCCAGGGCTCTGTACTGCTGGAGAACCCGGCCCACGGCCTTCTGATTCTTGGAAACTGCCACAGCTCTTGACAGGCCAAATCGCTGTTTGTAGTATCTCATCAAGGAGCGATGACCCACTCTGGCACCTGTGTTTCAAAAGAGCAATATTTAAACATGGAATTGGATAGGTTTCCAAGACAGAGCTATAAAGCAAGTGCTTTATAATCAGATTTTACACGGTATCAAGCTGGAAAATGGGTGATGGGTGTGCCAGAGGGAACAGTGCTCTCTCTGCTGAGAAAAGATGAAGCAGCATATTAAAAAATGAAAGAAAACCTTTGCAGAGAGGTTTTTAAAAAAAGAGAATGGCAAGTCACTTTTAAGTGAAATGCTCAGCATTTCATACTTATATACAATATGCCTTCCTAGAAATTCAGATAGTAACATCTACTAATACAGATAAGAAGACCCTAGGAGATAAGGTATTTTAACTTTTTTAATAGAAAGAAGATTAAGCACAGAGAAGAGTCTTGATGTTTAGGCCTCCGAGCCACAGTCTCGGTCTAGAACAGAAATCAATCCACCTTTCCTTTGCTTAAATTCTCTATAGTAGTGATTCTCAAACAGGGATGATTTTACCCCAGGACACTTGGCAATGATTGGAGATATTTTGGGCTGTTTCAGCTAGAGGGCAGAGAAGGAATCTAGTGGATAGAGTCAGGGATATAGCTAAACATCCTGCAATGCACAGGATAATCCTCCGTTTCAAAGAATTATCTGGCCCAAAATGTCCATAGTGCCTGGGTTGAGAAACACTGCCCTGTTGCTTCCTAAATGATGGAAATTACCAGGTGAACTAGGATTTTAAAAGATGATTAACATGAATCAGCTTCTGCCTATTTAGGAGGATCTGGTAAAACTACACAAGTCGATCATGCTTTCAGAAGTGAATTTGTATTGACTATCTGATTCTTTACAGGAAAAGTATGCTGACCCCTACATTTTAGCTTCACACCAGGTGAAAGGGAAAGGGGCAGGCCTCTGTAATGACTAACTCCAGGCTCCATCACAGCAATGGCCCTCAAAACATGATCTTGGGCCCGGCTGGGCGTGGCTCAGTGGTTGAGCGTTGACCTGGGATCCAGGCGATTGGGGTTCGATTCCCGGTCAGGGCACATGCCCAGGTTGCGGGCTCGATCAATGACTCTCTCATCATTGATGTTTCTATCTGTCTCTCCCTCTCCTTTCCTCTCTCTGAAATCAATAAAGATGTATTTAAAAAAAAAAAAAAAAGTGATCCTGGGCCAGTGGCATTAGCATTACCTGAGAGCTTACTCAATACAAGCTGTGTTTTCAAAAGAATATTAATCAGGAAATAAGCAATCAAACACCCTTCCAGACAGACACAAAAATGTAGAAATTTAGTAACAGCATATACAAGAGGCACAAACAGCTATTTCTGCTGTAAATGAGTAAGGGAAATATGGCTAGGTAGAACCATGTGGACAGCTTCTAGGAAAGTTTGACACATACATAAAATCATTTCCTTCAGAATCCTCTGTGTAGAAGGACCATGTACAGGATACTATAAATATGGCAGATGCCTGTATTTTCTTTTAGGATCTAGACCTTTAATTTACATGAAAAAATTATGTCAGGTACATTATTTTGTTTTAAGGCCATCTACCTGGCAAGCTACCCGAAAATAGTTTGTTTGCTACACAGGCATGGAAAAGTAGTTACTTTCAGTTGACCGCTTTGTCGTCAGACTCAAGGGATGACAAAAAGAAACATTCAAATCAAAGATGTTATGGTCTCTGAACACTGATATGGATGAAAACGTGTTTCCCTGAACCTGACTGTTCTGGCAGCTTAAGAGTTAACAAAGCTCCTAGAACACAAAAAATAAATGAGACACAGCTGATGGATACAGACTCAACTTAAATGCAGGCTCTAGCAGGAAACCCCAGCATTGTTCATTGTGATTTTCTATTTATAACATTAGGTGGGGAATGCTCCAGGTGTGTAATGATGACTACCTCAAAATCATTAAGTAGTAATACTGGTCATTAGTATATAATAAATCAATATATTTATATTCTTAATCAGCATTTGGAAGTACATATTTATTGAAATTTGTCTTTTAAAAACAACCTTGAAAAGGTTTCATTACTCAATGCCAAGGTTTCCGACAGCTAGCAGGAGAAATAAAAGCACAGTGTTTAAAGCCACCCCCGCCCTGTGTCAATGACAGTGGGCACCTGACCTTAAGCATCAAGCATAATGTGCTGAGAACAGCTCAACTTGAAGGCCCTCATCTAGGAAAATTATTTTTAGAACACAGTGACTGCCCAATACATAACAGATGAGTTATGTCTGAGTTATGGTGAAGTCACAACCTGTCCATCTGTCACCACAGCAATAACCACTTACAGAACGATCCACTCCTACTTAACAAATAGCCTAACAATCAATGACATTAGATTGCAGAAAAAAATGTATCTCCAACAGTAATTTTCCTAAGATTACCTATGTAGCTCTTGTGGATCCTCCAACAGTTTCATCTGGCTAGTCAGCAGCTAACTCAACATGTTTTTCATACCAACTTACTCCGCAGGAACTGAAGAGCAAAGACCTCAAGCAACTGAGCCAAACCAGTTTTCAAAATAATGCCCACAGTGCCCTCTACCGGATGCTCTTTGTCACAGCTACTTGATCTGAAGGAACTAGATTTAAGGTATCCCAACTACTGTTTTTGAAATCAGGTTAAAGCCAAATCTACTGAGTGTGGTAGATAAAGAATCCTCCTTAAGTTAGCTTAGGGCTAAAATCCATGCCAACCCTTTCCACAGAAAAAAACACATGCATGCCCTGTTAAGAACCCTTGGGATAAGGTAGTACCTGGCTGTTGGTTAGGTCTTTCCCGAGTGTGTCAAAAGAACAGTATTTTGCAGCACTCTTAACACCAAACCAGTAACCTTACTACTTCTAAGTCTATATCATAGAGCTATCCTGAGGTTTATTAGCCAATACTTTAAAATAGCATGATTCTATAAGTGACCTGCAGCTGTGCACAAGGAAACCCAGGCTTTAAAAACTAGGGATACTGAACTTTCAGCTCACCTCATGCCACTTTCTTTCACTACCTAATGATGTAGAGGCAAAGCAATCTGCTCCCGATACTGCAGGCAAATATGATTCCAAGCCCCTGAGGCTTGATGTAAAAATAAAATAATACATTAGCTTGAACATGCTCACTACTCAGGAACTACCAGGTATTTTTAGGATCTTACTATCTCTACCATTCCATTTCCTTTCCTTCTCACATGTCTCCAGTAGTTTCTCCTGTTCTCATCAGCTAAGCATAACACTGTAAACAATAGTGGGTGCTTCTCGTATTCATGGCTTTTCTTCATCTTTGCAGACCTGGGGTAAATTACCACCATTATGAATACTGTCCCCCACAGTACAAGACAGAATTCAAACTCTAAGTCTACCTTCTACAATCAGAAGCAGGCAACCTGGGCGCTATCAATCAGATACACCCACGTCAGATTACCATTTGGAAGTCTAAGCAATACAAGGAAACAGGAATCAGTTCAAAGAGTAAGAGTAAGGTCAAAAGTAACAAGAAAAACCTAGATTGGGCCCCAAAAGTTGATAAATAGAACAAGTCTATATATTTGAAATGACCGACGAAGCATTCTAATCAGACAACAGAGGCGAGCAGAAACAGTGATCCAATTTAAACAAAACAGTTAACACAGTGACAACCTTCAGAGGGCACCACATACCTGAGAACACAAACATGCATTCTAATTCTTTTCCCCTCTGTATGCAAAAGAATGGGTGGGAACGTGCCTCTCCAATAGTCTCACTGGCATTAAGCTATTGTTTTTGGGGTTTTTAAAAATATATCTTTATTGATTTCAGAGAGAGGAAAAGAGAGGGAGAGAGAGAAAGAAACATCAATGATGAGAGAGTCATTGATCGGCTGCCTCCTGCACGCCCTAGACTGGGGATCAAGCCCGCAACCCAGGGATGTGCCTGACCAGGAATCAAACCCCGATCGCCTGGATCCTAGATTGACGCTCAACCACTGAGCCACGCCCAGTGGGCAAGCTATTTATTTTTGACAGTGCACGTACCAGAAGGCAGAACCAGCTCCATGGTTTCATCATCATAATCCAAGGTCTTTTCTGAGGGCAACTCCTCAGTCTCATCAGCCTCCTCCCTTTCCTTGTGATCTGGATAGCTACTCCTGGAAAACAGTGAGGGACATTAATAAATAGACTGATATCTCAAATTTAACTAAAGACTAAATTGTATTTGCAAATGTGGCAAACCCACTGGCTACCCAAAAGGGGCGATACAGAGTTACAGGGTCTGCAAGCTGAAAGACTCCAGGGAAAACAACTTTTTAGCATTTTCTCTGAAGTTCACAAGTGACTTATGAACTCAAGATAAATCACAGAACTAAATGGAAAACAATAAAACTATAAAAACTCCTATAAGATAACATAGGAAAAATCTAGATGACTTGGGGTTTGGTGATAACTTTTTTAAGGTATGACAACAAAGGAATGATTCATGAATGAAAAAAATTGATAACCTGGACTATGTTAAAATTAAAAACATCTACTCTATGAAAAAAATGTCAAGAATTAAAATATAAGCCACAGATGAAAATATTTTAAGAAGACACATCTGATAAAATACTGTTGTTCAAAATAAGAAAAAAAATTCTTAAAACTCAACAATAAGAAAGCAAACACCCAACTAAAAAATGGGCCAAGACCTTATAGACACGTCACTAAGAAGATAGCTGGCAAATAAGCATGTAAGAAGATGCTCCACATCATATCATCAGGAAAATGCAGATTAAAAAAACAATGAAATGTTTAAATTTGGCCAAAACCTAGAACACTAACACCACCAATGCTGGTGAGGTTGTGGAGCAACAGAAAGTCTCATTCATGGCTGGTGGGAATGAAAAATGGTACGGTATAACCACTTTGGAAGACAGTTTGGCAGCTTTTCACAAAACTAATGACATATGGTCATTCCCTTACCATATGGTCCAGAAATCTTGCTGCTTGGTATATCCGCAAAGGAGCTAAAAACTACTGTCAACATAAAAACTTGCACATGGATATTTATAGCAGCTTTATTCATAATTGCTAAAACTTGGAAGTAACCAAAGTGCCCTTCACTAGGTGAACGGATAAATAAACGGTGGTACATCCAGACAATGGAATACTGTTCAGACCAAAAAGAAATGAGCTATCAAGCCATAAACACACGGAGGAACCTTAAATGCATATCACTAAGTGAAAGAAGCCAGTCTGAAAAGGCTACATACTGTTATGATTTAAACTACATGAAGTTATGGAAAAAGCAAATCTATGGAGAACGTAAAGATTGGTGGTTTCTAGGGTTTGGGGTGGAGGAAGCGAACATGCAGGATTTTTACAGCAGTAAAACTACTCTGCATGATACTATAAGAGCAGATACATGTCATTATTCATCTGTCCAATGTAGAACACCAAGAGTGACCTGTAATGCAAACTACAGACTTGGAGAATGATGAGTGAGTCAGTGTAGGTTCATCAACGCTAACAAACGCACAGTAAGTGGAAGATGTTTATAATGGTGGAGGCCATACTTGTGTGGAGGCAGGGGATACATGGAAAATCTCTGTACCTGCTGCTCAATTTTGCTATGAACCTAAAATTGTACTAAAAAAGAATAAGCAAATGACCTAAAATTGAATTTTTTTACCTATTTGTTTCTTCCTAGGAAGGTAGCCAGAGAGGAAGAGAATGTAGATCTGGAGATGCAGCTCTCATCAATTTAACCATTAAAATAATAAGTTCTGTAAACTGGTGGTTGCCAGATGGGTGGGGAGTTGGAGAGAAGGGTAAAATGGGGAAGGGATTAAGATGTACAAATTTCTAGTTATAAAAACAGTAACTGAGATGTAAAGTACAGCATAGGGAATATAGTCAATATTGTAATAACTATGTATGGTATCAGATGGGTACTAGACTTACAGGGGTGACTACTTTCTAAGTTATATAAATGTCTAATCATTATGCTGTACACCTCAAATATAATATTGTATACCAATAGTAATTTAAAAAAATTTTAAGTTCTAGAACTGCTGTCTAATAGAACTGTGATGAGAGAAACTGTGTGTCCAAAATGGTAGCTACTAATCAATGTGCTTTTAAGCCCTGAGCTTTGACATGTAGTTGTACAATGAAGAACTAAATTTTTAAATTTGTGATTTAATTTCTAATTAACTTAAATAGCCACATGAGAAAGTATACCTAGTAATTACCATATTGGACAGTGCAGTTCTAGAAGAATCTCCATGTTCCTAGAAATGTTATCACAAATACCATAGGAAGTAACTGGAGAAATGCACATAAAATACTAACAGTAGACAGATAACCCAAAAGAAAAACAGAAGACTTGATCAAACACTTCACAAGAGACATGCAAATGGCTAATTGATATATAAAAGGTTCTCAACTACAGTGGTCATCATCAGGGAAATGCAAATTAAATCCACAACGGAAGACCACTACACAACCACCAAAGTGACAAAAATGAAAAACTCTCCCTCACTACTAGAGAAATGAGGAAAATGCAAAAGAACAACTGAAAAGACTAGGACTTTTCTGAACACTTGTATCATATGGATTATGCACACCTGGCATTGTAATTATATATACCTGCTTGTGTAGCATACCTGTGCTAGGTCATAGGCATCTTGACACTGGGAATTAGCTGTTCAAGAGTGCCTAGCATAGATTCGGTGTAGAATTCATCAATTATACAAGTTTCTAGTAAAGGGTGTACCACCTCCTATGGGATAACAGCACCATCAAATGCCTGGGACTGTCCTAGTTCAGCAACCACTTCAAACTCCCTTAGAAAAGAGCTTGTTCTTCAAGGACTCTCAGGGAAACCAAAGCCTAATTCCTGTGCCTTTGCACATAAGGTCAACTGGCAAAACTGAATTCCTGCCCATTAAACAGCCAAAAAGCCCCCAAGTTTTTGAGTCAAAAAAATTTCAGTTTGGGGCCTGAGAACTTCTCCTTATCCGATCTCTTTTTATCATATGTACGTGTTTAACTCTGATACACTCAGTTTCTTATCTACAAAACATGAGGGAATAGAGAATATACTGTATGGTGCCAGCCACATATCAGGCACTGGCACATCGAATGAATATCACTTCAATGCAAAGACGATTACTTCACTTCACATTACATTACAAACCACAGACTTACCTAAAGTCATAGAAGTCTGCAAATTCCAAAGCAGCATCACCATCTGTGAAGAGCTTACAGTGGCTTTTGTCATTCATGTGCGCTTGTACAGCTTCTGTGGAGTAGAAGGACTTCCCTTTCTCATTGCACCACAAGCAAATCTTCCCAACACCAACCTTCTCTCCTGGAAAAATAATTTCAGGGGAAAAAATATGAAAAAAGCTTTTGTGGCCAGATTAAATCTCACCATGTATCTGCATAATTAAAAAAAAACATGCATCAAGTTTGTAATCTTCATAAAATAAACATGTAATTAAATAAGAGATTGATGAGAAACACAAAACTGTTTCCTTAAGACCTGCCCCCCAACTACGTGCTATTTCTCATTAAAAGGAAAGCTCTTGTACTTACCCAAATACTGAATCAGTCCCTTAAGATCAGAAAGATATTCTATATCAGGAATAAAGAAGCTATGGACTTTAGTCATATGAGCCACATTCTTCATGAGGGAGCTTGAATGATGGGGACAAAACAAGCAGTCCTTTATAGAGATGGCACCAAGGGGGGTGCCTCCCCCAGCCTCTTCCTCCTCTGCATCCTGTTCCTCCAACTCATCCATCGATACAGCATCCTCACACTCCAATTCTTCATCAGAATCAATATCTTCCCAATCTTCAAGCCAGTCATTTGAAAAACAAGGTTAGTATAAGAAAAGTGGTGGCCAGAATCAAAGAAACCACACAGATATACGAACATGAGGTGGTAGTGCTGACTTACCTCCCGGGACAACCCCTCTTTCAGGATCTCAATTTTAACTATTCCTTTACCACAGACCAATTTGTAAGAAATACCTTAATTTTTCTTTTCCAGCCTACAGTAAACTCCTCAGAGTCTTTGCGTCTTTCCTGTCTATATGTGTGTATACAATCAGTGTTAATAAGTTGTGTGAAGAGGGAAAGAAGGAATAAACAACTCCAAGTCAAGGAGGCCAGGCTGCTGGCTCCAGCTCCTCATTTCAGGTTAGCTAGCGGATTCTGAACCCCTCATTTCATTGCGTCAATCAACAAAATCAAGTGCAAATCCATAACTAGTGAAACCCAAGAGAATTACATGTCCTTCTATTCCTATATGTTAAAGCCCCCTCATTCAAAACAGAGAAGGCATCAATTTATTCTACAAGTGTTTATTAAGGAACTATTTTTCCCTTAGGGAAGGTTTCAGGCCCTGAATCGCCAACAGCGAACGAAACAGAAAAAATTCCCCGCGGGGATGCTGGACAGACAAGCGACTTCAGAAAGCACAGAAACCGCCCCTACTCATCACTTTCACTTAAAAAAGGACCCTCCCTCCTCCAACTTCGAGTTCCGATCGGGAAACCAAAGGGGGGCGGGGGCAATTTCCTACACACACACACCCTCCCCCCCCCAGGGCCCTTACCGTCTCCATCCAGGTCCTCCTCCTCACTCTCCTCCTCCCCCCGCTGCTTAGCCAGCTTCTTCGCCTGCCGCTCAAACCACTGTAACCGGGGAGGCTTCTCGGCCGGGTCCCGGTCGTCGGCTCCACGTCCCCCTTCGGCCGCCGCCCCGGGCCTCCCGGACTCCTCCCTAGGCGCCGGGGGGGCCTTCTTGGGAGACGGCTGCGCCCGGAGGAGCTGCTGGATGGCCGTGTTCATGGTGTCCTTGTCAACACTGCCCATGCCCAACCCTTTCTCCAAGTTCTTCTCGTTCATCATCTCCACCTGGCGGTTCACCGCCTTCCTCTCCAGCTCCACATGCCGCCGGGACCTGAGGTGGTTTTCGTAGGCGTTCAAGCAGGCGAACTTCTTGCTGCAGACGGTGCAGTAGGTGGCCGTGCCCTTGCTCTCCTGCTCCGCCACAGCCCGCTGCGCCCGCACGCGCTCCTGGAAGCCCTCGGCCGTCACCGGGGCCATGTCGGCCACTTTTCGCTTCAGGTTGTAGCGGTGCCAATCCGTCTTGTAGTGGGCCCGCTGCATCTCCGGGTCCTCGAAAGCCACCCGGCAGGTGATGCAGGTGTACGTCGCCATCCCCAGGAGGAAAATGAGAGGCGACAGAGGCAGAAATCTAGCGATCGGCGCCACAAACCCCACGACGCTCTCAAACCTTAAGTCGCCTCACGGACCGCGAAATACCAGCATGGACGCCGATTTCCTGATTGTATCTCAGGCAAGAGATTGTACGCGTAGGGAAGTTATTCCCGGATGAACAGGAAGTCCCGCCTATCGACCGTGCCCCTTCCAATGAAGAGCCAGAGAAGGCGAGAGGTGCCATTGGCTAACCGGGCCACGCCCAGTCGCCTAAGGCAGGTGTTGATTGGATCAGCCCGGACGTCGACTGTACGCTCAGAGGTGAGGTTTGATCGCGTCCGCTCAGGAGGGTGACGGTCCGAAGCCGGCCGGGCCTCTCCGTTACTTTCCTCCGTGGTTTGGGGAGCGATGTGACGTGGGTTAGGCGAGCGCTGCGACCGAAAGGGGAGTGGGGCGCCCGGGGCGGCTCCCGGGCCTGGGAGGACCGTGAGAGTGGTCCCGGCGTCTCCGCGACGGTCGGAGCTTTTCGGAGTACCGCGCGCTGCGCCCCCCGCCCCCCCCCC